GTGTCATGGAGAAGTGCTTTTCTGATCATGGTTACTTGATGTTTATGCCTCACTTATCTGTATGTTAAATTCTTCCCCTATGTTTGGAAGGTTTTCTGCTATTATTTCTATAAACAGTTTCTTATGTCATTCATGCTATCTTCTGGTTTTTCCTTGATTCAAATAGACTAGTCTTTTTTGTATTACCTAGTAGCCACTGGGTCCATTTTCCATGTCCTCTTTTTTTTTTTTTTTCCAATTTTTTTGTTAGCACATATTTGCAGTACATACATTTTACAGTCATCTTGGGGAGTGGGTACATGTAAATAATAGTTTGTTTTTTTAAATCCCTTGCCCCTTCCTTCCTCCTCCCCTCCTCCTCTAGTTCCTCTTTCCACCTTTCCATTCTTTTCTTTTTTTTCTGGCCCATGCTCCACCCCAGCCTTCCCACTGGCTGGGGCACTGGGCCTCCCCTTTTCATTCTTATTGATACTATTGAACTTAGTTCATGTTTCTGGCATAGAATGTTTATATTTATTGAAGTTATTAGGATCCTGTATATGGCTTTTCTTTATCCTACTTATTTCCCTACTCCCTCTTTCTTACCCTTGATTCCTTGGAAGAGGTAATTTCCTTTTCTCCTTCTATCCTTCTTTTGTTATTCTCTTTGTACTTTGTCTTAGAGTATATGACCACTTGCATATCTTCTAGTTCTGACACTCTATCCTCACACTGTTCACATCTCCTGCCATACTTTTAATAGAATTTTCTATCCCCTGGGTTTCTGTCTGGTACCTTTTCACAGACTCTAATTCTTTGTTAACTGATCATGGCTGTTTTGAATCATTTTATGTGGCTCAGCTAGCTTTTTCTTAGTGTTTGCTGTAAGCTCACTATCAATTTTGTTTATTAAGTCCATTATCAATTTAGTTACATCATCCTTGAACTTACTGAGCACATTATTGATCTTTTTTGTCTCATCTTTTATCATTTCATATAATTTAGCTCTTTAGCTTTTGATTTCCTCCCCATCCATACCCCCTTGATTAGCTTTGGGGGAGCTAGGAGTTTTGAAAGCATTTTGTTGCCTTGTTTTCTTATGCTTTATTTGTTGTTCTTCTGAGGGTTGCAGGTCAATTATGGTGGAAAGACTTTGTCTCTAGTTTGTAAATCTCTTTTGTTGGTGTCTGCTATCCAGTGATACAATGTGGGTGAGGCTAGCTATAGGCCTTTGCCTCTAGCCCAAGATCTGACCACCTCTGTTAATTTGGGGAGGAAGGGTGCAGTACAATTGGCCCAACACCAGGTTCTCTGGAAGCGAGCTGCGGGATTGTTGACAAACCAGATATTGGTATATAATGAAAACCAATTAATAACAAGTAGTATTCCACCCTGGCAGTAGCAATTAATAACAATAATAGAATCAAAGACATAGTGGACATCAACATACTATAAAAACCAATAAAAGCTACCACTACTGAGTGTGGTGGCACAGGCCTGTAATCCCAGCACTCGGGAGGCTGAGGCAGGAAGATTGCGTCGAGTTTGAGGCCAGCCTGGGTTACATAGTGAGTTCAAGGCCAGCCTGAACTATGCAGCAACACCCTGTCTCAAAAAAGAAGAAAAAAATAAATAAAAGCTACCACTGTACCACCCTTTATAATAGAAAAGAGATCTGTAATAACAATACAGATATAAAAACAAACCAAATATTGACATACAGTAAATATCTACTAAGTGCAACAACTAAACCACTATTAACCATAGAAAAGAATTCAACAATAACAGTACAGAGTTAGCTAGCTATCTAAAGATTGATAAAGCTTAATAGTAATACTGGTAAAGATAGGGTGAAGAAAGAAAAATGAAGTAAAATTTGAAAAATAACAAAAAAAGGTGAGAAGGAAAAGAGAAGTGAGATAAAGGATTCTACTGAAGAATGAAAGAAAATTTATAGAATTAGATAAAAGTAACAGAAAAGAACAAACATGAAAAAGAAGAAAGAAAAAACAGAGAATAAAATAAAAAAGAAGAAAACAACAGAAATATTAAATAGAAAAAAGAAAAGGAAAAGCAAGCTAAACCTTCCCTAAAAATTGAAGAAAAAGCTAAATGAGTCCAAAAAAATTCTGTGTGTTTTTGAACATGGTTTCTTTCCAGGATCTGCAGTTTTGGAATTCACTGGAGGAAAAATTGTTAGATAGCAAGTTTGTTGTTTTCAGCAGCTGAATTTGGGAGTCAGCCACAGACAGTTAATTCAAAAGGGGGAAGGGGTCTTCTGCTGTACTCAGTTCTCCATCCTCTATGTATCCTATGGCCAAGCAATATCAATGCTTTCTGTGCTTCTGAAAATCTGATGGGTTGAAGGATTTGAGAGAAATGAACAAAATATCGTGAGGCAAATAGAAGTAGATATGCAAAGTAAAACAAAGAAAGTGGACAGACCATCTACTAAAATCCACATCTCATTTTTTCTTTCTTTCTTTTTTTAAAAATTGGGACAGAGTTTCACTTCATTGCCTAGGCTGATCAAAAACTCCTGGGCTCAAGAGATCCTTGTTCCCCAGCCTCCTGAGTAGCTGGAACTACAGGCATGTGTCACCATTAATTTTTAATCAGATATAATAGAAAAATATTAGAAAAGCAGATGATGTAGTAATTTAGTCACATAAAAGTTTAGTATGGTCATTAGGATCAGGAACTGCCATTTGCTAGCTGGTCAAAGGTAAATTATATAAATTATTTTCATTATATGGAGATATTTATAATTAATATCACTTAATTTTACATTATAATAAGTGAGCTAATGTATACCAAGGACTTAGTAAGGTAATTGGCAGGTAACCTTAGTTAATATTCTTGTTATTATGAACATAAATAACATTCTACTGAAATACTGCTACTGGGGACCCCTGCAGTGGGCCCTAATCTCCGGCCAGGTGCTGACACACAGCAAAAAGAAAGAACAAGAGTCAAAATGGTGATGCAGCAGGGAACTGGGTTGACCAGTTGTTCACTGGGAACAAAAGGCCACAAGGCAGCCAGAACCATGATGTTTATTGATTGAGGAAAATGGTGAGGGGGTTATCAGATGACTCAGAGGGCAGGGGTAGTCTTATGCTGCAAGGATCTTTATGTTGATGAGGATGGTGGGGAGAGATGGCAGGTGACCAGAGAGTTTGTCCTTTCCCCCGGGTGAAACCTTTTTTTATTACTACTCCCTTCTCAAGGAACCAAGATGTCTTCAGCTGATGCAGTCTTGCCCTGGGGTGTCACAGATTGAGATCTCAGCTATGGCCAGAGGTACACAGTTATGTTCCCGCGTACCATAGTCACCTCCCACTGCAAGATACTAGCTTTGGACAAGCCCTAATCACAATGTAATTATGAAATGATTTCCCCCCAAAATTATATAGGATGGTCCTCAATACACTGATACACAGAAACAGCTGATAAGCAGTATGGAACTGAGGTTTTCCTTGAGATTAATCTGTGATCACCTCATAGGGTTTGAAGAGTTGGATTCATATAGTAGTTCAAAAAACTTGAACTTCAAACTGATTTATAGAATGTTAGATCATTGAATGAAATAAAACAAAAGTAATCCTGAAAAATACTCTCATGTTTCTGAGCTTACTAATAAAAGAATAATTCCTATTGTAGGAAATAGCAAGAATAGTATCATATACTGTGCCTGATAAACATATACTTAGTATGTGCCTACACATGAACATATACCTACAATCTCAGGGCACGTGCTCAGTAAGTTGCAGCTGTTTTTAGCATTGGCCGTGTAGATTTTCCAGATGTTTCTGTTTGAGATGCCCACACCCCTTGAGGGAGTCACTGCCCTCCCACGGGCATTAGTATGCATTGCCTGGCAGCGAGCCCGCCAGGCTGAGAGACTTATAACCTTTTCAGTTACTCGAAGACGGGGAGCTTCCGTCCCTTCCTCCTCATCTTCTGAATTAAGCCTCCATTCTTAACCTTAAGCTTTCATCTCAGAATTTCAGCTTTGATGCTTCCCACTTCCTTCCTATGGTTACTTTAATCGAAGTGAGTCAGGTTTTACTGAAAAAATGACCACAACTGGTCTGCTCCCACCCGCTCCAGGCCGGTACTGCCGGGGCGCAGTGTGAGAGGGATAGGTGTTTACTCAGCCCATTCCGTCCCTCCTCCCCTCCACATCATGGGGTCTGTGTAGGGCTTCCCCAGCGACCATGCTCCCCTCAACAGACCGCAGTCAGAAGCCAGTCTTATTAGTCTGGTGGCTCAGGGAGAGGACAATAAGAGTGGCTGCTTGGGTCCTTGTGTACCCTATTGCATGGACCAATTTGTCTGTATTCTGTTCTCTTGGATTTGGTCCTGATGCCTCTGATCTCAGCTCAAAGAGGACTTGGTAGGAGATTTTGGTTGTGATTACCAATAGCAACCATCTTTGTTCAGTGGGACCTTCTCCTAGTGCTAGAAGCCATGCTAGATCATCAGGATAACCTAGGCAAAACCACATTCATGCTCTGGATCTTTTGAGCTCAAAGAAATAAAAACAAAATAAAAACAAACAAAAAATCCCCCAAACAAACAAACAGTAAAACATGTTCCTTCTCCAGCTTTCTGAGTTTTGCATGTACAGAATCACCTTTAGTAATCTTAAAAATTAACATGATCAGCCAGGAGAAGGGGCACACACCCACAATCCCAGAACTCTGAGAGGTTGAGGCAGAAGGGACACAAGTTTGAGCCCATCCTGGGCAATTTAGCTGCCTAAAAAAAGTTAGCATGATCTTTAAGGAATTAGTGTTGTGTCTTAAAGGATGGAGTTGTGGGGAAACCACGGTAGTGTTCACTTTTGGCTTTGAAAATAACAATCCTGATCAGGTTTGGAGCCTCCCCTGTCTCCTGGAGAGGTTCTGGCTTTCTTTCTCTGGAATGCAAAATACATTTTCCCACTCTCTTCAGTCTACTGGAAGCTTTGAGGGGACACTTTTAGTCAGATGGGAGTCAATGACACACAACATGAGTTGGATAAAAGTCCATTTATTTTTTTCAAAATTAAAATCTGCTATGAAGACAGACAAACAATGTACCATTCCCAGAGGAACTGAATTACTTCTTGTTAAAAATGAGTTCTATTAGAACCAACTTTAGGCTATTATAAATAACACTTGAGCCACAGCTTTGAAGAATGAAGTGGTTGGAGGATGAGGTCAGGGGAATCCCTCTGAGCTGCTGGAGAGTTAATCCTCAAAGGCGCTCTCTGGTTTCTCTTCCTAAGAGGGAGCAAGTCTGCAGCACTCCGAGAGCTCCATGCCCAGACACAAGAGAAATTAGAGGGAGGTTATGGGAAATAGCTCACCAAGCAGGCTAGAAAGTATGGTCCTGCTTGGAGTGGAAGTTTTAGTTGGCTCCCCAAGGAACATTTTTTTCCCTTATATAAATTAAAATTTCTATTAAAACACTCAAGTACCATAGTGTGTTACCCTATGGAAACAGCTTAAAATAGGTGAAAATAATAAATATTGAAAAAATTATAATATTGGGCTTCTTTCTAAACAATTCACAGAGAAGCTCAGTAAATAAATAGGAATGAGTAATAAATATTCTAGGACAGAGGTACAGTGGGGTTTTCCAAGGAGCTAGTTCAGGTAGCTCAGAATCCTGGATCAGATTTTGATCTTCAATTTCTGACCGAGAGTCCAATAGAGTTGCCATCCTTGGGGTTTTAGTTTGTTATCTTCATTGTCATGTAGGCTTCTATGTAGTTGATGAAGATGTCAAACTCACTCATGGCTTTGTAGACACCTTTCTCTTGGAGCTGTGCAGGGAAATAAGAAACACATGGTCAGAACTCTATCAGAGGACCAAGGGACTACTCTTGCTCCCTTACACTGGAAGTAAATCATGGAAACCCAAGTATATACCAAAGGGTGTGCCTTGACCTTCAGCTCCCCACAGCTTTAAGCGCAACCAGTGAGCAGAAGGAGGAACATTCAGTCTGTACGCTATCACCTTCTAAATGTGCCATTTCAACATTTTTAAAGGTCATGTGTTCACTTGGTGCTTATGCAGAATTTGATGAAAAGATATTGGAGGAAGCAGTTTGAAAGCAGGACAGGGAGTCTTTTTTGTGTTTATGCTTTCCCAACAGTCTGAGTAGACCCTGCCCTGCCACTCTGGCCCACTGTAAGGGGATTCCTGCCCCATGATGTTGGAGCCTGCCCAGTCAGTCTCTGTCCCTGAACCATGAAACGGACATAAGCCGCATGGCTTCTGGGAAATTAGGTACCAGATGTTCACAGGCAGTTGGTAGTGCAAAACCCCATTTGCTTTGGGAGTTAGTATTCTCAGGCACCTTTGGAGATGCGAGGGGCAGATGGAAAATGAACTGAACTAACTCTAGGTAAGTGAGAATTCTGCTTCCTGCTCATTCTGAGTTTGGGGGAGTCCAGACTGAACCTAGACGGGTCTGTGTGTGCACATGCACGCGTCAGCTTCCTGCACGTGTGGGTTCAGCCTGGACTCCTAACAAGCACTTTCTGTACTTTCTGTTTCCTTTGTCACTCTCCCCAGTGCCTGGCTCACTGCGTTCTTAGGTTGGCTAGCTGGTCAAGCCGAAAGCCTGCAAAGGCGAAGAGCAGTCATTTAGAAACCCCCAAAGACACTTAGCAGAAAGCAAGTAGAACTAAGGCAGCAGCTCCTCATTGGCTGGGGGTCACGCCATTTCTCAGGTTCCCACATTCTCTCATTGCAGGACAGGCCTAGTGAACACCTGTCACCCTCTGCCCTCGGGGGAGTGGGCCAAGGCTCTGCCACCATGCACGCTTACCTTGCTAAATGCAGTCTTCACCTGCTCCACCGCCTTGCTCTTATTTTCACAGGGAAGAAATCGATGCTGCACAAGAAAAGAGAAAGTATTACTGACCCTGGATCCTGGTTCTCCTTTCCATGACACTTGGGGGACAAACTGGTAGCGTGAAGTGGGGCCAAATTCATTCAGAATGCTTACCCCTGTGTCCCTTAGGGGGAACCAAGCCCAGCCAGATCCTCACCACTACTCAGATGACAGAGAGAAAATAGTCAGGGATACTAAATGTCTTTCTCTTGGAACTACTCAGGGAACTGGTGAGGCTTGGATGAGAATCCAGCTCTTGGCTTCCCCTCCCGGAATCCCTACTGTCCTTTTCCTGCCTCTTTGTCTCCTCTTTCCCTTAATCTCCAAGGACCATTTTTAAGCATCTGGGGAATGAAGACACAGTGGCAGCTAGGGAACAAAACCTTATGCATAGCTCTGTTCTACAAGCAGACACCAGCTGACTCCAATATCGGTGAGAACAGAAGCAACCCAGCAGTGGCAAAGCATCACTTCAGATGGAGAAGTAAATCATCTGGAGCAGTTGTTCATGGACATACCCTGGGTACAGGAGACCCTGGCCCTTTTGAGAACCCAGGGACAATCGTGTCAGTGGGGTATTCTCCCTCGTGTTGCTTTCCAAAAACCAAGAAGAGATGAACGGTGTCCCCTCCTCTGCCTGGGAGCCTCAGCTCCCAGCCCAGAGCCTGGGCCCAGAGACAAGGGCGCTCTAGGCCCCTTTCACAAAGAGAGGGGAGTAGTTAATAACCCACAAATGACTCACAAATAACAGGAAAGCTGTGTGCAAATCTTCACATGTAAATGCCTTGCACCCACCCCCACCCTTGCTTAGAGAGAAATGAGCAAGAGATCTGACTTCAGCACCCTTCTGAATTTGTAATCAGCCCCAAGGGCCTTGGTCTGTGTGTGTTTTTGGCTGTACCTGGCCCTGCTGGGCATGGAAGATGGGATACCGGGGATAGCAAGGGAAAGGCCTGGTCTGCTACTCACACAGCGCCGCAGCCGCTGCCTGAGGGTCTTCAGCTTTTCTCCCAGGGAGTTCACATGCTCCTTGATATCTGGGTCGTGGTTCTCCGCCTTTGGCATCACCTCCGCCAGGTAAAACTGGATCATCTCTGACAAGGCTTGGCAACCCAGGTAACCCTGAGGACAGGAGCGGAAGGAGTGGAAGGCAGTGATGGTGAGGAAGAGCTGCTACAGCCACAGAGGACAGCCCTGTCCCCAGGAACCCTTCTTAGCCAGCTGTCTCCCAAGGACTGAGTCCTCTGTAACCCCTGGCTGTGGGCAATGTGCTGAGTTAAGGTCTTCCCATTCCCACTTCTCCTTTTCAAAGCGAAGGAAGCAGACCCAGCTCCCTGCAGTCAGCAGCAACCTCCCTTCCCTAATCACGCTGCATGTTCCCCCACCAACCTCCCAGCCTCACCTTAAAGTCCTCCAGCAATGACTCGTTTAACAGCACGTTGTCCAGCTGATCCTGCGTTTGCTGCAAGAGCAAAAGGCAAGTGAACTGGAGGCTTGGGGGAAATCCCTGAAATGTGTGCCTTTTTGATGCCCTTTTATGTATACTTTTTGATTTGTAATTCATGTTGCTCTGGCCCAGGAGATGAAAGAGACTTGTAAGAGGATGAGATGTGCTGCAATCAGTAGTTAAATCAGGTCCACTGCTTGGGATCAAGTAATTTAAGAAATCTGGCCAATTTGGATGGGAAGGCAGAAGCCTGATTCAGTCCCGGTCTTCTTCCTGCAAAGCCATTTCAGTCTTGAAGGAACCACCCACGCTAGCTCTCCAGTCCTTAAGCCCCTTTGCATGGCCTGCTGTCTGCTTTGCTTTTTGCCCACTGTGGGCCTCCAGCTCCAGCACTAAGAATGCTCTGGGGATGGGAGCTCCTCACAAAGCCAGTTTCCCCCATGCATGGTGCTGCCCTAAACCTCAGTATTTCTGGTATCGGGACTCTCCAAGAAGAGGCAATGCATATTTTCCTGCCACAGGATAAGGGGGAGCATCTTCCCCTCCGATCAGACCTGTCTTCATTTCTCTTAGCCAATAAAGTACCAAGCTGCAAGGAATCTTATACAAAGTTTCTGAGCATAGATGAGACAGTGCATTTACCTTGTAGGCAGCTTTTCCTGCACATTTGCTACCTAATCTCGGCTTAGTTTAATTCACTAAACTTATGTCTTAATATGGACCTTTCTTAAGAATTTAAATCTGAGGGGAATGGGTGGTAAGGATTGAGGGGGAAGAGGAGGAGGAGGAGGCAGAGAAAGATTCTTATAGCTTCAGCAGAATGACTAGTTCTGGCAGTCCCGGAAAGGAAGAAAGAGCATGAGGGCACGATACTCACAAAGAAAGTCTTCACCCTGCCGAAGGCAGCTCGGAGCTCGCGGAGCATGTGGGGCAGGCCAGCTGGAAAGTGGGCACAGCTGTCCTCAGACTGGGTGCCCATGCCTTGGCCGGCCCCAAGCCCAGCCAGTAAGACCAGGCAATATAGCAGCGCTGAGCTGGGCATGACGGAACTCTGCCTCCTTCTGCGAGGCTGCCTTGTGGTTTGGTTTTGCAAGAGCAAGCCCCTGGTGTATAGACCGTCCCTCTCGTGTCCCCCTTTTATATTGTGGCTCAGTGAGGCCTCCCCATTGATGAAGCCACAGACTTAAGATTTCCTGGCAAGGTTGTTTTTTTTTTTTTTTTTTTTTTGTGTGTGTGTGTGTGTGTGTGTGTTTTTACTCAAGCTCCTCCCTGCCCTAGACCTCTCCAATTTTGCATTCGTTGAACTTAAATTTTAAAATTTTTGCATCGTAAGCAAAAGGACTCAAAAAATGAACTTCTGCATTATTATAGCTATTTTTAGAATGGGCTATACCTCTCTTTTTTTTAAATAACTTTTTCAGCTTCTCAACTTAAAAAAAAGTTGATTTCCTGGGGAGTACAGCTGTCTGTGCGCAGAAGCCCACAGCTGTAAGTTCCATTCGCGCGCTCCTAGGTCACAGTGACGTGGACAAACTGGCCATCCCAGAATGTACTAGGATTGAGAAATCACTAGGTCTCCCCTCGACCTCTGTTGAGTACCCAAGACTTCTCCTTGCTGACTTGGAAAGTCACCTTAGCTCTCTGGGACACAGTTTCCCCAAGGTGAAATGAAGGGTGGGTTAAATATCTTCAAGGTTCCCTTCTAGTTCTTTCATTTTCTGTTCAGGACTGTCCCTTGAAGAAACTGGCTCCCTACAGAACAGTCAGGGTCAGAGATGGGCTCAAGCTCCTTCTAGGCCCCTGACCTCCTTGCAGTTCCCAGCCTGGGCAGTTGGGAAGTAGCAACTCAACTTTGTAGGGATCAAACTGAGGCTTGGAGATGTTACGTGACCTGGCTACCAAGCGGGGGGCAGTGCCCTGCTCTTCACAGTCCCAGTGGGTGAATGAAATGGGACTTCGGGTTTCTTCAACTTTTATGGCTGGAGCCTACAGCTTGAGAGTTAAGGAGGATGAAGTAGAAATAATAAGGAAACGCAGCCAGGATTCCCCGAATGCTGGGTGGAAGGGCCTTTTCTTTCCTCTTCTCTGTCCCTCTCCTCTTCCCAAAGAAGCCCTCAGAGTGCAGCCTCAGGTTTGCATGGTGCATGTGTGGGCCAGGTGGGCCTCCATGTGGGGTTAGGGCGGAGGAGTGTCACTTACCTTCAGTCAGTGAGCACCGGGCCCGGGAGCACAGGACTTGTGCAGATACTGAGAAAGTTTCTGGGGCTCTTTGATTGTTCCCAGCCCTCCTCCCTCCCCGTTGCCGCCGCAGGGTCCTCTCCCACCACCCCAAGTTAGAGAACCACTGGGGCTCTGCCCTGGCTTTGCCAGTTTGCACGCAGAGCAAGTCACTTGTCCTCGCTGCATTGTTTTCCATCTGGCCCACAGGGGCAATGATACCTGTCCTCTTGCCTGCCAGGGGGCTTTGTGCTTAAGCAGTAAGTGGACCCAGGAGGAATGCAGCTCACAGTGTGATTTCCTCACCTTCCTGGATGGCACTGAGCATCTCTGCTGGCACTGAGCCTGACTTTGGAGGAGACTGTTATGCCAGAGCAAGGATAGGGAGTGACATCCTGGGTCCAGCCAGTCTAGAGTGAGCAGGAGGGAAAGGGAAGAGGGTCAAGGTCCCTCTTTGAACTTACCTGCTGCAGTGCCTTGTAGATCAGGAACTGGAGACTGTGGCCTCTCCTCCCAGTGCTGTGGGTAGTGTTGGTGCAAAGCAGTTGTCAAGGGAAAAAAAGTCTTTCAGAAACTGGAATGGGGCTAAAACCAGAATCGCTGCTCCTGCCAGATTCATGCTGGGCTGAATTCTGTAGCCAGTAACCAGAGATAACCCCAGGGCTGGGATTCCCACCTCTTCTTTCTCTTTCCCCCTCGACTCCTGGCTTCCTGGGCTCTGTCATCTGTACCTGACAGTAGCTGGGTGTTCTTGGATAGACGCAGCACTGCAGATCATTAGGCCAGGCTCTGAATCCCAGGTGAGGCTGTGAGGTCCTCCCTGATCCGGGCAGGTGGGTCCTCTCCATGGGTTCCCTATGATGCCCCATGCTCACCCAGCTGTGAAATCTACAGCCCTACCTCACTGTCATCCATGTGAACTCCTTGTCTTGCCCAACCAGCGATGAGCACCCTGAGCAGGATGTTGCTTTATTAATCCTTGAGTACCTGGCAACCAGCACTGAGTTTGACCCAAAGAAGGTGCCAACTGTATTTAGGATTTGCGTAACAGAGTGCTGTGTGAGCCTGGACTGGGGCTGCAGACTGGACCATCAGAGAGGCTGGTGCTGGGCACAGGCAAGACCCTCAGGGAGACAGACAGCACTTCTTACATTTCCTTCTTATAATTCAAGGTATGCATGTAAACACACTCAATTTTACATATATATCAATGGCAAGGAGAAGGGAGGAGGGTAAAAGCAATTTCCATATTTCTTTAATTCATAACTCACTAAGTAGGGTTAATTTAGGATCTGACTTCTTAATCTGCCATGAGATTAATTTGCCGTTTTCAAGTAGTTGATCTTTTCCCCCACTGAATATTATCATCTTAGAATTTTAAAATCTAAATGGTCAGACATATCTGCAGGAAAGTTCCTGGATGCAAGTCCTTATTTTACCAGTGGAGATGCTATCTCCTCTATAACATATCTCCTAGTATTGACACCAAGAGACAGGTTAAACACACTTGAGAAAAGTGAAGACCATGTGTGTCTATAAAACAAGACAAAACAAGAGAGACAGGTAACTTGTGTGTTCTAGGGCTGTGTGCTAACACAGATAACACCTGTATCTCAGGCTGCGAGCAGATCTGTTAATCTGAAAAGTCTGCTGGAGTGCTCTGGGAAAAGTCTCAACCAAGCCTGTAGGCCACGTCCAAGAGACACACGTGCCAACAATTGCATGTTAGGGGCTTGAGTTTGGGTGTCAGTCGAAGGGAGGAGCTATGTGGGAAGGAAGTGAGGGACAGGCATCTGTGGATGGACGGGGGTTCATCTGGTGCCATTTGTTCCTGTGAGTTCAAGAAGACACAGCTACTGCTCATCAGATTGTGAAGTCCTTGGGAGCAAACGGCTTGAGTCCAGTTTGACCTCTAGTTCAGATGACTTGCAGATGTCTAGTAAATGCTTATTAAATTGAATATTAATGAAACTTTCCAGTGGAAACCCATGGGGAAATCAGAAGAAGGTTATGAGAGTGGAAGCTCTTCTTCTGTCCCTGTTCTAAAATATTCCCTGATATCTGACTTCAGCTATAAATGGGAGAAAATCTTACTAAGCATGGCTTTAAAAAGGGAAAAGGGAGAGAAGTCTGGCAGCTGGCAATCTTGGGCTGTATCTTATGCATATATTATCCAGGGCCTGTGTTTTCTTCCTTCCTGTTCCCTCAGCCCTCAAGATGTCAGAGAGAAGGGAGGGGGTGAGGTCTAAGTCCAAAGGTACATCAGCCCAGGAAATCCTAATAATCTGTTTGGAGGCTCCACCCAGTAAGTTTCACCATTTTAGCTGCAAAGGAATCAGGCAGCTAAAACGTGTGTGTGTGCGTGTGCACGCGCACGTGTGTGGATGGTAGGAATGGATTTTAGAGGATCTTATTTATAGTGCAGAAGATCTTACAAGAAATCCACCTTTATACTTGGCAAAATGGCAGCCCTCTTGGTATGGTTGTCCTGAGCCTCCCTTCAGTTCTGCGTCTTGGTTCCCAGGGTGGGGAACAGGCTGGGAGTCCTGTGAGGCGGCAGTGGAGCTACAAAGTGAAGGCTAAGGAATCCAGGCTTGTAGGACTCCGGGTTCAGCCAGCTTGCCCAGGAATGGGGTCAGTGCAGGGAGCAGGCAGGTCAGTGATGTAGGCAGAGAAGTTGGGAGTGTGGGATTGTGTCTACCTGGGGAAAGGAGACAGCTGTGCTGATGCAGGATCTTTTGGAGGCTCAGCTTCTTTTGACATCAGTAGGTATTTTTCAAAGCCTGATAATTGGAGTTTCATTTCTTCTTATCCAGGACATTTAGTGTGTAAAGTAATGTCTTGAATAACCTTCCTTAGTTCCCTGGATTTCTTGGGGGGTTTGCTACAACAGACCCCATGGGCATCACATATAGGAAGTGTGGCTGGGTGAGGGCCTGGGGAGAGGGAACTGAGGGTGGCATCCTCCTTTAGGCTCCTCTGGCTTTGGCCTGGTGTCTGGGGTACTTCAGAAAGGCATGGTACATCAGAAGTTTGAGAGGAGCCTGAGTTGGAGAAAGCCCCTAGGCCAAATCAAGCAAGGGTTGTGCAAACTGGATCAGGTCCTCTTCCAAGGTGGCTGTCAGACGCTGCAAACCACAGCGGAAGGGCTGATCTTCCGACAGCCAATGCGGAATTCCCCTTTGTGCAACTGTGGCATCAAATCAAGCAATTTGGATTTTCCTCGGGGGATGAACACTGTGCTCTGTAACTTCTTGGACGAGGAATTTAGCCTCTCAGGGCCCTGGACACTAGGTATTGCTGCTGGCCGCCCAGCAGATGCAGCTGTTTCTGCTGTCTCTGTGGCCATGTGGGGTCACTCTGGGCACCTGAACCTATGGTGCCAACGAACTCTCCAACTTCAGCGGAAGTGCTTCCCTGCCTCAGGCTGGCACTCAGTCTGACGTGCTCCAGCAGGGCTGGCTTCATGGACCAGGGACCTTTGCAGTCACACGGGCTCCTGTGGTTAGAAAGGCCCTACCCTTGCTCTGCTCTGTCTTGAAATTCTTAATAATTGTTGACCTAAGTGCCCTGCACCATCTTCAGTTTGCACTGGGCCCCTCATTTACCTCGGTGAGTTTGGATCTGAGACTAAAGTCATCATCATCTCTGCTTGGTCTCCCCTTCATCCAGTGTTCAGGACATGGGACCGTCATCTAACTCTAGAAATAATTTATTGTTTCTCTCTGCCAGTCTATGTCAAATTGTCAGATCTATCACCAGGTGCCCCAGATTTTTCTCCACGAAGGTTTCTTCTGTGTACCCACTGCTAGCAATTTCTGTCTTCACCAGCAATGACTGCTTCAAACTTCTGTCTCATCTCCTGTGGGCTAAAAAATATTAGTTGGTCTTCTAACATCCATTCTCTACTCTCCTCCATGCTGCAGTCAGAG